AACCACTTCTGACTTGTTGTAGTTTAAGTTCTTTGCAGAAAAAAAATTGCTTGATGATATTTCCATAGTCAAAGGAGGAGTGAAAGCTAAGTGCAGGCATTGTCCAGATCTGCTTGGGTGGGGGGGGTGGCTTAATAATATTAACCCTGTCACTACAAAGCAGTGGAATACATATAGCTGTTTTTTAAGTCTGTTGCCATTTTAATAAATTGTCAAGAATTTCCTAAATTCAGTGCAGTAGCCAGTTGCCTTTCTGCATACAAGGTGACCACGGAGTATTTAGTTAGGGTGCAAACTTGTAGATCACCCCAATTCCATCCACCATACACTGGCTTGTATAGTGCCAACTGGTCCTAGCATCAGTTGAACCACTTTAAGTTTTTGACTATCATGTCCCACTGGAACCCAACCTGGCATCACATCAAGATTTCAAAAAGGAGATACCAGAATCAAGAAGCAGAGCAGTCACGTGCTAAATATTTCTATATATCAAATCATAACAAATCTATTAGGAATCTATGGTAAGTTTGTTCTATACATTTCAGAACTGAGAACTTAAAAGAGAGTTTGCTAATCACCAACTTGAGGTTTTACAAGTTTGAAACCCGAAGAGTAAAGAGATGATTAGAAAAAGAATTAGAATAGTTTTCAACAGCACTGGAGCATTCCGTGCTCACACACCAGTAAGAAGTCTTACAGACATACATTGCCTTAAGCATATCTTATTCAAAATGTAAATTTATTACTGGTGAAAGATGTCCACTCAACCAACCACACATTTTCTTACTTGATCTAACTAAGTATACATCAGTCTATATCTTAGGCTGAGGGAGACGGGTAGGAAAGCAAATCCAAGTAAGGGAACAGTACAAGCACTGGACTGTAGGCAAGTCACTGTGGTCCTTTCAATTGGCCCACATGAAGGCAGCTGTGATGACTTGCATGGATGCCAATCCATAAGATTCTTTCTTTTTCTTTTTTTTTTAAGGAAACCAACAAGCAAAACTGATAAATTCTGAAACCTTTATTCCATCGTGACAGCTCAAAGACACTGAACTGAGCAGGTTATTTTTCATGGCAACAATACCACTTGCTTTATTTGCACACCATGGTCATTCTCCTTTCAGATGAACAACGGGCATGGTTTATCAATATGTTGCAGTCCTTTTACATCCCTCAGCGACAGAAACAGATAGCTCCGATTTCTCATTTCAGATAATCCCAGATTTTCACAACTCTTTCATTCAGCAGGACAAAAGGCTGAGCTGTGTAGATATCCAAACATAGTGGCAGCAGCTGACTCTTCAGGATATTAGCACTCTCAAGCAATTGGCAGCCAACATTCCAGATGAGAGACAGCAGCAGAGAGCAGAGTAGCTGATGCAAAAAGGGGGAGAGAGTTTCTTGGTGAAGACAATCTTAAACTAAATGGCATTCCTCAGGGGACAAAAAAGCTTCAAGACCAGAATAAGCATCTAGGTTCTTCCTCTTTCCCATCTCACCTTACCAACCCAGCTGATGTCAGGCAACAATGGGCTGATTTAAATCCCAACCCTTCAATTATACTCATGGATAAATTTCTGAAGATAGGCAGAGTCCCACTGAGTCTGCCTACAGGATCAACACACACAAGGCTAAGATCCATGGCAGGTTTATATAGGTGTATATTCAATATCAGTGCGGTGGAAGCCCACAGTCAGCTGCTTTGTGCGGTGCATTGTGGGAGTGATGCCATAGGTGGAGGAAGAAAAAATTATTTGTGGGGGGCTGAGCCAGGTGGTGAGTGGCATGAGGGCAGAACTGCTATGAAGCCCCTGGCCCAGGGACATCCCCATGCCCAGCTGCTCTGCAGTGCTGGCCCCTGCAGCCCAGCCTGGTCCAGCCCCATCAGCGTGGCATCCCAGGAGCTGGAAGCCATGAAGCCGCCTGTCAGTAGCACCCACCACTCCCAGTAGCTGGTGCCTGTGCTTGTGTATACTGTCTGCTGTTGTCGAGTACCAAAATTGTCTTGTAAAAAAGTGGCAGAAACAGGTCCGGGGGTCAGTACAGTTGAGGTCTTGGAACATATCCCGATGGGTAACATTGTAAAGTGGGTTCCCTTTATGCAAAATCGAGTTATGTGCAGTTTCGCAGGAAAGAATGTACAGCGTAAAAGGGAGGAAAATACAGTATATATTTAGAAAGCATTTCCTATTCTACTGATTTGTCAAGACATCACAGGAGCAAATGATGTCATAAGTACTTGGAGTACAGAGAGTACCACATTCTGTATTCCTGTTCCAAGTATCTAATGCACAATATTTCCAAGAATAAATGGACAAGACCTGAAATCAGGCTTCCCAAGTAAGCAAAGGAGTAAAATATTTTGATTTTGAAGACACAGAACATATTTCTTAAAACGTATTTGTTCCATTACAGAAGATGTGAAACAGTATGTGTGTTATGAAGTATGTATCAGCATAATGAAAATAAATGTATCAACATATTCTATCAAAGATGTACACAGACTTGATTTTCTCATCTGAATCAAAAAAAAAAAAAATCAAAAGACAGAACTGCTGCTTATGTGCTGTCTGCCTTTTAAATTACAGACTCTTGGTAATGTTCAGGGTATTTTTAACTTATGACAGCACTTGTATTGTGCACTTTCAAAGCCTATACCTAAGTCACCGGAAAGTCTGGCAGCAGACAGCAGCCGCTACCACTAATCCACCAGGACAGGCGCAAATCCTGCTATTTCTGGTTGCACTAAATTGTTTCATTCAGCAGCTGTAGCACCAGAGCACCCAAGGAAAGAAACAGCTGTTGACTGGAACACAGCAACCAGAAAAAGGTACAGAAGCATCTGCATACTGCCAGGTGGCTGCAGAAGACTTGGACTACTTGGCAAAGATGAAATAATTTTGCCATCTAAAAGAACAAGCTGACCACTACAGGGGACCATTTGGGGGCAGATGCACAGTTTTTCTAGCAGAACTCTAGTAGGCAGAACCTTGTAGTGTAGACTAAGCCTTATTTTACACCTTTAACTGTTATGCAAGACAGAAGCTACTCCAAATGTGCAAGAAGTTTAAAAAATAAAGCCAAATAGCAAAATGGCTGGCCCACTTACCGTCACAGCAAAATACAGGGCATTCTTCTCATAGCAACATGGTCTCATTCCCTGCCCCCAAAACAGACCGTCTGAGATTGCAGCAAAAAGGCTTTTCAGTTTTGGACTCTGAAAAGCAGACTTGGGCATTCGTTGCCCCACAGGTGCACTTGACTGTATATCCTTTGGGAATTTGGTATTAGGCATCTGTCTCCAGCCTCTCTCTCTTGCAGCTTCATTCTCAAATTCAGGGTCAGCATTCCCATCAGACTGATCAGAGGAAGGCTCCCTTATTACTTTGATATGGGGTAACTGGGCTGAAACACATTTTAAACAATTAAGTGTGAAGTAACTTTGTGAAATAGGGGTGGCAAAAAAATAGTAGTATTCCATGCCTCTGCTACTTGAATACTAATATGCAACAGCTATGTTTAAAATATAGCTCTGCTGGAGTGTGAAAAGCTGCACTATGAAATTTTAAATGTACCATCACAGACATTTTAATTTTAAATGTATTCGGGTTACAATTTAGACATTTTTTTCTTCTCTCTGACTACATATCTTACAAGTTCAAGTCTGAGTCCAGATGGGTTTTTCTAAGTCATCACCATTAGTAAGTAGTACACAATTTGCAGTCTCAGTAGTATGAGTCTCAGCAAGCATAACCAAGTAGCTTTTAGTAGGCAATGCTGTTGGACTATCCTCCAGTTTGCACCTCACCTCACCCCATAGTTGTTCCAACTCCACACTACACTAGCTAAAAGGATACAACCAAATGAAGATGTAATTAAGAGGAAGACAGTTTCAATATAACCATTTTACAGGCCTCATTTCTACAAATATTGGAATACATGTGTATATCCTTACACAAGTATTTAAACTGACTTAGAATTATTTGTGTTTAAAGCATGTGTGCAAATACATACCAGACTGGAGTAATTGCAATTATTCTAGTAGCAGAAATGTTTTATATCAATGCACTTTAAATAACATCATCAAGGATGTGGGGGGCCAGCAGGGGAGATCATGCTCAGGGGCAATCAGCATGGGTTCATCAAAGGCAGGTCCTGCCTGACCAACCTGATTGCCTTTTATGACCAAGTAACTAAATCCTCAGATGATGGTGTCGCCGTGGACATAGTCTTTCTGGACTTTAAGGCCTTTGACACCATCTCTCACCCCATCCTCATCAATAAATTAAGTGACTGTGGCATTGGATGGGTAAAAAATTGGCTGATGAGGCACACAGAGAGAGTAGTGGTGGATGGGTTGTACTCAAACTGGTGAGATGCGAGCAGTGGGGTACGCCAGGGCTCGGTCCTCGGGCCCGCGCTGTTTAACAGCTTCATCAGCGACTTGGATGAGGGAAAGCCTGCTATCCAAGTTTGCTGATGACATGAAGATGTGGGGCGAGGTGGACATACTTGAAGGGGGAGAGAGGCTGCCACTAGATTTAGACAGACTACAAAAGTGGGCAGATGAGAATAGGATGGGGTTCAACGTAGACAAATGCAGGGTGCTGCACCTTGGCAGAAGGAATCCACAGCATACATACAGGCTGAGGAGTTCTCTGCGTGAAAGCATAGAGGTGGAAAGGGATCTTGGAGTCATTATTGACTCCAAGATTAACACAAGCTGCCAATGCCAGACCGCAGCCAGCAAGGCCAGCCATACCTTGTCATGCATCCAAAGGTGCATCACAAGCTGGTCCAGGGAGGTGATACTCCCCCTTTAGGCGACTTTGGTCAGGCATAAGTTAGAGTACTGCATCCAGTACTGGGCACCGCACTTCAAAAGGGATGTGGCCAGCCTGGAGAGGGTTCAAAGGAGGGCCACCCGCTTGGTGAGAGGGCAGCAGGACAGGCCCTATGAGGAGAGACCGAGAGACCTGAACCTGTTCAGCCTCAGCAAGGAGACCGAGGCAGGACCTGGTGGCTGCCTACAAACTCATCAGGGGAGATCAACAGCAAATAGGAAGAGCCCTTTTCTCCCCAGCACCACCTGGGGTGATAAGAAACAATGGTAATAAGCTGATAGAGAATAGGTTTAAGTTACAGATCAGAAGGCAATTTTTTA